TCCATACATGGAGCCAGACGCAAAAAAAATGAGAGCACAGAAAAAATGAAAACTGTTAAATTTACAATTTAAGAAATCAAATTTCAAATATTTAACACAGGAAAACTCTGGTCAACAACCAACTCAACCAACCATCTCAATGTACTTACCAGGACCAGGATTATTAACTGATGCAGAAATTCAGCGGGTAGGCTACGGTGGCACCTGCTCATTCCACAAAACGGATAAAGAGAATTATTGTGAAGTGAAAAAGAATACTGCACCAGACCACAAGCAAACCAAGTCATTTTTTTCCTATTAATCTTTTACATTGTTTGTAGTTTTTATTAATTAGGGCCTATGTTAATATTACCGCCACACTCTTTGGCACTAAAATGACTTCTGCATGATAAGCTGAGGATGTTTCAACTAAGCCGAAGAAGAAATAAGACTTCGGTCTTGAAACCCAAATGTACTGATATTCAAATTGTATGAACTCACCACAAAACAATGCTATCTTCAGATCTTGACAATTCTTAACTAGGCCTACATGGTTGCCTCCATTCTCGTTGCTTGTGTTCAGTTCCGTCTCGTCTTTTTGCTTTTTAATTTTTTTGGGGGGGGGGTTGGATCTGGCCTCTTCGTGACACCATAGAAACTCAACCAACTATTTGTGTCTTTAGGGCACTGCTTCCAACAACTGTACAATTATTACATAGAAATTTTATGCCATTTTGAGGAGGAAAGATCAACACTATGCACGCAGCGCCGTTCAACATACGGACGACAGAGACAGGAGGTGTCTGAGCCGGTAACTTCGGCACTTCCGGTTGACGCAAGATCGACGTGCGCCCGCTGGACACAGTTGGCAGTCCATTGTTTATTTGTTTTTTCCCTCCAGGTCTATGATTAGACCTAGGGTTGGGCTACAGACCTCACAAAATGAAATTAGCTTAGGCCTATAATTATGATGACTGACAGCTTGCCATGGTAGGTTTTTCCAAAATTACATCCTGAAAACATCGTATGGCTTTGCAATGGGCTGGACCACGGTTCGTTCCTTTTTGAATTTGCCTTTGTTTTATTGTACTCATCACGGGGGTGGGTTACGTCTGTCCAAGAGCATTTGGGTCATTCCGTAAATGCGGGATCCCAAATTGTGTCATTTTTGTATCCCTGTTACACTTGACCTGTGTAATTTTACATGGAAGTATTACTAAAATTTACTAAAATTGATTTCAAGCTATTTTTATTTTTGGTAAGTGGCATGCATTAATTCATCGCTCTTGGAAATTACAGAGTGTGTTGAACTTACCAAATCATGTAAGATGTGACAGGGGTACAAAACAAAATGGACCCCGAATTGATAGAAAGACCCATAAGCTTAGACTAGAAAAAGTGTCATGAGGCGAATTTCTCTTTTAAAAATCTGGCCCTCTCTGCGACCAGGATTCCAATGTTAATCTATACCCCAGGGAAGCTAGGCGTCGTTATCTACTATCAAATACGCCATCCATCAACACTCTGCGTGTGGCTAGTCCGACCTCCTGCCTGATCTACTTTTCCAGAAGCCCCACGTGCCACCAACGTGTGGACTGTCTTATTTCATCCGTACACACAGGCCGACTTCGGTCGGCTTTTCCCGTATGTTCACGAATAGCTCGGTTTGTTGTTCGTGGGGCGGCCGCTCGAACGCCGGGAACAAGCAATCGGTTATTGATGGTAGGTAATGATAAGCAACATGGCGGCGTCCATGTAGGCTACGTAATTCGAGAGTTGATGTTTGGACAGGCTAAATTCTTTTCTATATAAACAGGAACATTCATTTCTGTGTTACGGAAAATAATCAATGTTAATTTGGCAAAACCTTCCATTGTCTACGGCTTTGGAAGCCATCTCTCTACTTTTTAAAGCTGTTCAAAAATCAAAATCTCACGAGTTTTTCTGTGTGTTCCTGTAAAACCCTGACGCGGAGGTGGTGTGATCCTGTTCCGGGAACAGTGTTCTTGAGTTGTGTTCCCGTCGTTCGAGCGCGAGAACAAGAAACCCGTGTCAAGAACAGGCCGCCCGAACTCGACCACAGTCGAACATTGTGCATGGTGTGTCTGCACTATGTTTGGGCGTACATTCACTGCACAGCAATGCACAGTACCGTACATTGAGTACGTGTACACGGTACTGGTACCGAAAGCGATATATTTTTATGTATCTTACTGGCGAAACTCGACTAGAAAAATTCGATAATCGTGGCTTTAATTAAAGGATTATATTAAAGGAAGTTTCCATTGAGTTTGAAGTGTAGTGTCCTCTCATAGAAAAGTGCATTTTGATTGAATGGAATGAATTGAAAAACAAAAGACGCAAAAAAGCTAGAAGGCTGCCTAATGAAGGCCTTTTTTATAAGCTGGTGCACAGATTGTAAAGAACAAATTTTGAGGACAAAGAATAGTATTTTTATACCGGTAAATAATTTTTCGGTGGATCCTAGACTTTTACAAATAAAAATCTATTTTTCCATTTCGAATTTGAAAGGTCGACTGATCTGAGTGCCAACTTAAAAAAAACCCACTTTCCCTTAGCCTACGACCAATCACGCTGCCCCTGGTTCCTCGTTATGTACGGCACCCAATACTAGACGGAAGTATCGTGGATGAGTTTAAAGTATGCCCTCCCGATGATCACAATGTGAGCAAATTTGGTCAAAAGGGGTTATTTTGAACCTACGGATAAGTGTCTGCAGACTTAAAGATTAGGCCTCTGATAATGCACGTCGGTGCACGGGAATGAATATAAAATAAAACTTAGGCCTTTTGAAACAAAATTGATTGTTTTGTTTGTGGACTTTACAGGTTGTCTGTGGGTGATTACACAGCAGCTCAAATGGTAATAGAATTAAAAAGAGTATTGATTTATAGCGCTACAAGTGAAATAGGATACCAAAATTTCTCAATATCGTTTGTGTCCACCAACTTGTAAAAATTCACAAAGGCACTTATAATGTGTATGAAATAGACCATGGAGGAATGCTTTTCTTTCTCCATGCCTAAAAGACATTCTGGTGTAATCTCTACAGAAATAATTTTGTTGAAAAAGCCTTCTGACAGCGAAAGTTAGTGCATACCTTTATCTGCGTTGTCAATTATGGCGCAGGGCAAAGTTTAGTGCTCACTTTGATCCACTCTCCCAATATAAGGGGCAGAATTCCGACAACGAAGATTTGCGTATACTATGATCCGCCCTCCCAATAACGGGGCTGAATTCCGACGACGACGTTTAGTGTGTACAATGATCCGCCCTCCCAATAAGGGGGAAGAATTC